ATCTGCAGACACCAGCCTCCCCATCCCCCCCCGCCCGAGTCACCCCTTTGCCCTTCCCAGCCTCCTGCACAGCAGGAACCGCTGACTCAGCAGCCCCCCGGCCTGGGGAAGGCTCCATGGCAGGGAATCAATCGCTCCCCCTGGCCCCGACAGCCGTGCCTGGTGCTGCTCTGGCCTGCGCCATTCAGCAGGGAGGACGCTGGGGCCCAGTTTCCCCCACACCGCATCCAGGCACTGATGTGCCACGGAGGAGCCGGGCTAAGAAACATGTCCAGGGTCATACAGGACATCAGTGTCAGACAGCACATGCCACGACAAATAGGGCAGATCCCAGTGCTCAGGCACAGGGGGGACACAAGCAGTGCTAAATAGTCTGATCCAGAGACAGACAGAGCGTCTCTGCTCCCCCTCACACCGCTCCGAAGCCCCTGAGGACCTCAACCCCTGGAGGTGGTGCCAGGCTCTGGGGCCCCTCCTGAGAGCCAAGTTCATCCCCTGCTGGGGCTACCAGTGGGGAAACTGAGGCACAGACACTGGACTCACGGGGGACAGCTGTCCCATCTCCCAAAGCCATTGCTTCACTTACACACCAGCTCCTCTCACTCCCCAGTATCCCCCCCAGAGCTGACACCCGTTCCTCCATGATCCCTAGTGCATCGCTGTGACCAGTCATTGCCCATGAGCTTGGTGGGGTGGCTCAGGCTGGCGGCACCAGGGCACTGCCAGCTCATGGTCCTGGCCACTTGTGCCAGGCTGGCAGCGCTTGTGCTGGCTGCACCAACCACAGATGAAGCCTCACCCTGCACCCTGGCATCGCCCCTGGGGATGGGGGCATGGCGGGCGCACCAGGCTGTCGGCGGGGGGAGGCCACCGGGGCACCGGTGCCATTGTTCTGCGCTGAGCATCTTTCACCTTGAAATGACAGGCGACGCAACTGGCGGGCTCCCCCTCGTTTCTATGGAAACAGGTGTCCTCCAGGAGACGGGCTGGGATGGTGCCAGGACACGGGGACAGAGTCAAGGAGAGACGGACAGGACGGGCAGCAGTGTTGGACACCCAGGAGAGGAGAGGCTGTGGCACGATCGCTCCCCACCTGCCTGCTCCCCCCAGGCCCCTGCAGGTGTGGGGGGTGCTGGTGAAGGCCCTCAGGGCCTGGCATCAACGATGGACTCAGCAGGGCCTCAGCCCCCTCTCCCATACAAGCCATGCCCCCCCTCACTGCCGACCCCTCTGCCCTGCACCCCACACCCACAGGGCCCCCCGCGGCCACATGTCCCCTCTGGACCTTCTTGCAGCTCCTGGCTCTCAGCTGTGATGTCCTTCCCCACAAGGCCGTCTGTTCAAATCCAGGGGCTGGGAGCCTGGCAGTGCTGGGCCAAATTCAGATGCCCCCGCAAATAAGTTGATAGGGGCTGGGGTGCTGGAATCACCTGCGCAACAGTGCCGGCTCCGGGCCCATGTGGGCTGTGGGAGCTGGCATGTCCTGCTGCTGGGCTCAGGCGAGGCCCCTGGAGGCTCAGGTGGGCAGAGGCAGAGTCACAGATGGGTGCGGGGCTGGCTGGTGTTTAATGGCCAGGGCAAGAAGGGTGCAGCGGTGGGGTGGGGATGATGGGGGCACCAGCACAGAGGACACACAGTGGGGTGGGGATGGGAGGCAAACCCGTGCACACACAGCGGTGGGGCTGGCTGGCTGGCTGGGGGCAGTTATAGGGTCCCCCAGGCTCTGTGTGTCATTGTGCTTGAAGCCTTCCCAGGATGGGGGGGCAGAACCATGGGACAGGACATGGGGCCTGTTTGGGAGGGACACCCAGAGCTCCTGAGACCCCAGGACTGGACCCACCTGGTGCAGGACGAAGGAGGAGGCTCTGGTGGGATAAAGTTCTCCCAGGATCAAGCAGATCCCTTCCCAGGGGGCACAGCAGTGGGTCCCCTCCCAGGCTGGAGCAGGGGGCTGGGGAGGGAGGGACATGACCAGGGTAGAGCTGCGTGGTGGCAGGAGCTGCAGGACTGGGGTGGAGCCCCTTGGACAGGCCGAGTAGTTGCAGGGAGCAGCAAGTGTCCGGCACCGGCGTCACAACATCTGCACAGAGATGGGGTACAGCAGCGAGAGGTGCTCGGCACCCCGGACGGGCAGCTCCCGCGTGGTGTAGTGGTGCACGAGCTCGGGCACACTGGCGAAGGGTGCGCTGTTCTGCCCCAGCACGAAGCGGTTCTCCCGTGTCCGAGTGAACTTCATGTGCATGAAGCCCTGGCTGCTCCTGGGGACAGAGTGAGGCGATGCACCGTGAGCTGGGCGCAGAGGCAGGGGTTGAGCAAAGACGCTCCAGCCGAGTGATACAGCTAGGCAAGCAGATCTGTGTGTCCTAGACCCTACACTGCTCACACAGCACGGGGACTCTTCTAGCTCCTCTAGCTTTTGGCATACAAAGCTTTAACGTTTATCCCCACTGAAGGCCTTGTCTGGCCTCCCTGGGCAGTGAGATTAGCCCAGAAGAGGGGAAGTGACTGGCTCAGTCATAGGTATCCTGAGGCTCCCTGCTGGATTTAATCCCTTCCGTGCTGGGTCTGCCATGGGGGTGGGACAAGGAGAAACCCTGGTGGAGCTGGGGAGCTCCCTGCCTCTGCCATGGCCAGGCCTGAGTCACTGCAGTACGGGTAGGTATGGCGCTGGCAGGCTGTGAACCCCATGCCAGGCCATGCCCTGCTCTTCTCCAAGATGTGAGATGCAGCCGGCCCAGCCCCTCCAGGCGTGGGGAGGATGGTTCCAGCAGCCAGCGCTGGAGGAGCAAGGCCAGCTGCTGCCTGTGATCGCCACGTGCCGCTGCGATTAACCTGATGAAATATTCATGCTGGGTGCTTCCGTGTTGCGCGGAGCCGCACCGACAAAGCACCCGCTGGCCCAGCTTTGATGCGGGGCCCTCCGCTAATGAGCAGCAGATGTTCCAGGCGGGGAGGTCACGGGGCTGCACAGTTGGGGACCAGCACCCGTGTGCAGGGGAGGAGCTGCACAAAGCTTCTGCGGAAAGGGGGATCCTCTCCTTCTACCCGGGACCTCCGAGCCCTGCACCTCAGTCATGGCTGAATGACCCACCTGTGGGGCAGGCCGGCCTCATGCTTCCCATCCCCAGGGCTGACCTCTTGGCCAGGAACTCCTCCCACTGTGGAGAAGGGAACCCAGGAGTCCTGATGTGCCCCTGCCCAGAACCGAGAGCAGAACCCAGGAGTCTGGACACCCATCCCCGGGGTGGAGCCACTGGGCTACAACTTCACCATGCAGCAGCACCTGGATGGGTGAGCATGGAGACCCAGGAGCGGGAGCAGTGCATGCGCACACACACACACACGCGCGCGTACATGCACACACATGAATCATGGAATCATAGAGAAGCACAACTGGAAGGGACCTCTAGAGGTCATCTAGTCCAACCCCGTCTAAGACCAGATCAGCCCTCTCCAAAACTATGCACACATGCACACACGTGCATTTACACACATACACGTAGGCAGCAGGGGGGGACAGTCCCAGGCACCAGAGAGAGGGGGCTTTGGGCATGGCACCATGGAAGGGACAGGGGCATCTGTTTCCTTGGAGGCACTGTGGGCTCTGACCCCTGGTGTAGTGACTGGGACGGTCCCCTGGGAACCCCACAGCTGACCAGGACCAGTGCTAGCAGGGGCCCTGGACCCGACTAGCCACAGTCAATGATAAGGCTGCCGTTCCCCCTGCAGAGCAGCTGGGACCTGTCCTGGATTTTGCTCTAGTGACAGCCCATCTGCCTCCAGCAGGGCCACCTGCCTTGTGTAACGCCCCCACATGAGACCCTTGGCCCCTTGGCAGCCCAGACATCCCTTCTCCCTGCATGGCCCTAGCCCTGGGCATTGCAGCCATGCTGCCGAGCTCTGCCTGTCCAGCCACAGGGCCTGGGAGCGAGACAGGAATGCAGCAAGCCCAGCTCCCCTTCCCCCAACACCCCCCCAGACTCCCGCCCCCTGGCCTCCGGGGCTTTGGCCGCCTTTGAGAGGTGATGCCAGGCTCAGCCACCCGCCTTTGATCTCGCTGAGCTGTGTCAGCTACAGCAGCCCCGGCCTTTATCTCCTCCCAGGCCTGTCAGATAGTGGAGATTAAGCTGCCTTCTCCCTGTCCTGCCCCAGTGCACGCGCGCACACGCGCGCGCACCCCCCCCCCCATCCCCTGCCCAACCC